TGACTGACAACGAGCATAAATAATAAACCGATCGTAACGTTCCGTGTGTGTACACGAATAAAATGTGCTCGAACGAGGCATTGACAACGCGCGCTGAATAATACATGCGCTGTCGCTCCCGATGCCACGAAGAAATATTTGGCAGGGCCGGTACGCGGGATGGTAATTGGAGTGTGTGCGGGTAAATAATGAAGGCAGAAACGCGCCACGAAAATCCATGCACAACAGCCAAGTGACTACGCGGACACGTACAACCTGCGCTGCTGTTACTGCTGCCAGGGGGTGGGGCAGGGGGTTAGAAAAGGTAGCAAGAACGGGCGGGAAAGGAGGATGGGGGTGAGGGGGGGAAGTTGAAGTAGTGTAGTAGCAGTAGTAGTAGTAGTAGTAGTAGTAGGAGGAGGAGGAGGAGGAGAGAGAAAAAAGAGAGAAAAGAAGGAAAAAAAAGACGGGCCGGTAGATGCAATTGCGATATCAATGGCGTTGGGGTTTCGCAGGCGATGCAGCTGTGGCAGAGAAACGAGATTAACGCTATAAATACCATTGGTGGCCGAGCCAGGCCGTGTCTTGACCGACGAGAAACTCTTGTCCGCGACTGTACCCTTAAAACATTGGAAATAGTTATGACAGTGGTGCTCATCCTACGGCTACCGTCTCCCTGTCGTGTTATCGATTCAATTCCCTCGAATGCACTTTTTTTCCCCTCTGCTGTACCATTCGTTCACCCTTTTTATTTTCCTTCGCTTTTCTTCGTCGGTAATGTTGGTATTCGCATTGTTCGCAGTTTTCGAATTTCACATGAACGAATATAGATTCATAGAATTAATAATGTAAAATAAAAATAAAGAATACTTTATCGCGTTTAATAATAATAACGGAATAAAATTTCTTGGAATATATGGATTTTAGGGTAAAATGTACGAGATTTATGGAAATGAAGTATTATTTATCGCGAATGGTAAATCTACTTAACCGATCGGTAATATTTTACACGTAACGAGCTTTCGGAATGCGCTCGTCCCGTTAACAATATGATTATTCGCCTCGAAATAATACGTAGAATTATTGTTATTGTTGTTGTTGTTGTTGTTGTTGTTATTATCTTCGTTGGTTATTCCGCATAAATCTTTCGTGGAGGAAAAATAAGCATGTTTATTTTGAGCGAATAGCTTCGTATCTCGAGAATAGATTATTATTAGGTTGACTTAGTGGGCAATTAAACTCGATGCAATCGCGGTAGGAAATAGCCGTGCTATTGAAGTATTAGAGTTAACGAAGTAATTGTGCTTTTTTGCAACCGACCGACGGGAGTAATGTTGGCTGCATTCTGAATCGAAATTAAATAACGAGACCATTATTCCGCGGCTATATTTAGACGTTAATTATACATTCTTTCTTTTCCTCGACGCTGTAAACGGGGAGTGGTATATAGTATACATTGTAATTATGAGAACACGCGTTTCACTTCAGCGGATCAGTGGAGAGAAGAAAACGAAGAAGTAGAGGAATAAGGGGAATGGATATATGTATGTATAAATAAATTGACGTTCCTCGCTCTTCTCTTTCGTGTCGCTTTTACACCGAAATCCGTTCGGTTTCAAATCGACCGCGTAAATAAAAGCAAAGGAAAGGGAGAGCAATGGACACAAACAAGCTCTCCCCGTCGCTGCAAAGTAGACGCTTCTATGGACGTCGTTCTCCGTAGTTAAGCAAAGAGAGACACCTTTTTCATTCGGTTGCTGTTGGATATTCTGAATTACGATGGCAATTTTTTTTTCATCGCCGTAAAAACTCGGGGCATCGCATTTACAATTCGATACGCCGCATAGTGTTTCAAAACAGCTGTCTAACCCGCGCAAAAGTATATTTCATTTTAGAAGTGATTATAGATCGTTGAAAGATTATGATTTTTTTTAATTATTTTCATTGTAAATTCGGAATATTCCGAAGAAAAACTGAATTAGCCCATCAAATTCAAACTATTCAAAATTTAAATTCAATCCATTGAAAATTTGGATTCAGCCAATGTAATTAAACTAATGTAAGTACGACTTGAATTCAGCCAATGAAATTTAAACCATTCAAAATTTGAATGCAGTCAATAATGCAATTAAACCAAGTAAAACTTAATTTTAGTCAATCAAAATCTAAATTCTTGGTATCTGGAAGTTAACTTTGACTGACTATAAACCGTAAATAAGCTCCTTTAATCTACAAACAACTGTAATGTAAAGAATATAATCTATCTATATTAATTATCGATCATTTTCAACTATTTACAAGAGTACATTTAACCCGATTAGCAAAAGTGCCTGATACGAAATTCTCTTCTTAGCTTTTTATGACGAATGCTCGTGCCGATAAAAAATTTAATCCATCCTCTCGGATTCGTCTTTCAGTCTCAAAACTGGAAGCTTTTACCGAAATGGTCCTTTCGAAATCGAGAAAGAGAAGAGCGGGCAAATATATTACCTAGCCGGCAGAAACGTCGAGAGGGGGTGGTGGGGGGAAGTTTTTCTAAATTTGCTATTTCATTTCGCTAAGTACATTTCCTTGCTCGTTATGCGCCGTCCCAATTACAGCAGTATCGTTTTAATGAAATTATGCAGAAAATTAAGCATTCCGTTCACGTATGATGGGGCAAATATTAAGTGAAACTGTGCTCGAACTTGTGTTCCGGTCCAAGGTACATGTCTAAAATAAGTTTCGAGAAAATGAAATTGTGCCTCCACGTAATGTATTGGATAAGGTATGCGTGCGTAGAGACGCGCTAGGTGTTTCGAACATGCAGAAAAAGCGGCTTCCTTTTGCGTTAACGGCATTTGCATTCCGGATACTTTGTAATCTCTTCGATGGGAAAATAATTTCAGTGTACACAGTGTATCCGTTTTTTAATGAATTCTTTTGGAAGTACATATTTTACATTTTTCTTTGTCAACCACTGGAAATTACGCATTTTCGTTAAACTGTTACGCGAAATCTACAAACTATAGTACGCGTATAAATGTTCCTTAAAAATTTCAAAACAATCCGGTTACTATTTTTCGAGAATTTCTCCTAGCGAGAAAGAACGCGTTATTCCAAGTTAGCTGAAAGCACAGTATATCTGTTCTCTTTAAATTTCCATAACTTTCTCAAATTTTCGAATTTCACAGAAATTCTTTTAGAATTTTATTCCACGCTCTCAAAACCATTTACTAAAAGACCAGATTGCTTGCTTAAACAGAAGCAACGCGCGTCGTTGCAACTAGCTACGCAATGAGACAGCATTGAAATTATTGAGCGGTACACAATTATCTGTTAATTTCCTTTTAATT